TTGCCGGTGGCCCCGTCCTGCCCCGACGTCCTGTAGCCTCAGGCCGCTGGCTGTCGGGACAGGGCTCTGGCAGGAAGAACTTAAGACCCGATGCAAGACCGTGGGAGTTTTTCAGTGTGTGCAGCTGGCTTGGTTGCAGTGATGCAAACTGATAGTGTTTCAGATGTACGTACAATGGGAAAATAGCAAAATCTAGCACTGAACAGGTTGTCTCTGCAGCCTTGATCAAATCCCTTTCGTTATACAGTAATTGCATGGGCACTGCTTCATGTAGCGAACAGGACTGGATGGTTCCCAGTTTATGCATAGCTATTCACTGTTTTATTTTATTTTCCTTGTTCAATGTGTGGCCTCACACAGTGTTTCCTACATGTGATCCAAATTCTATTCTGAAGGCTGAACTTCAGTTTAATCAAGGCTTTCCCGTAACGTTCTGTGGCATCCAAGCTCCCTATGAACCGTAATTTATTTTAAAGATGTTCCTTTGAAAAGTTAGTATGCACCTAATATTATCTGCAGTCTCCAGGTGGAAGAAAGTGGCACAGAACAAGAAAGATCAAAAGCATGAGTATATTTGAAGGCATAAGGCCTCTACTTCACACTGGATAACGTTTCATAATTTCAAAATAGAGCTCTCCAGAATCTCCTTGCAACAATGGATTCCTTTTAACTCCTATCTTGTAGCACCAAGTTAGGCGTCTAAGACAATAAGGAGCACAATTAGGATCACCTTGAAAAGTCTAGGTTAAACATCTACCATCTAATGGAAACTCTGTGGCAGAGATAGAATCTACATCTCCAGCGTATCACTGAACTGAGAATCTCTTGTTACTTATCTCCTGCTTCATTACCCTCTGACTTCTGGAACATATGGACTTGTACTCCATGCTTTCTTTCACTGTATACTCTGCTAATTCCCAGAAAACCTTTGGGCTCAGCAAGTTGAAGACCTTGTGGAAAAACGTGTGCAAGTGTTGCAGTACAAGCTTTAATTACATGACTGCAAAAGGTCAAAATTAAGGCTGCAAAATATCAGCCAGTTTCAACAACAGGTGAAGCTTTCAGCATTGCCTGATACTGTGTATTAATTTCTGCTCTTTGTTTGTGTATGTCACGTTTGGAGCATTTGGGGTCCTTCTACATCTAATTATACAAAATGGTTCAAATTATACAGTTTCCCTTCAAAATGCACAGGTGCATTTTAAAAGGGAATGTCACGATGGTCCTTTGAGAGTAAAATGTTTCTCCAGTGTGTGTACTATATATATCATATAACAGAAGACTTTAAAATCAGTAAATATCCTACATGTGATTTTATAACTATAGCTATAACATTTTTAGTTGCCTGAAACAAATAACTCAGAATTCAGTCACTGAAGAGATTTGTGTGGTAGAAGTAAGAAAGAAAACATTCAATTCTAGTTGCTTGTTTTGCAATTCTGTGTCAGTCATTCAGATAGTGACTCCATGTAAGATGCTTACCAGTGTAAGTATTTTTAAAACTATATTTTTACTATCATGAGATTTTCCTCTTCCCACATTGCAGGATTCTAATGCAGGCATTTTGTGTGTTTCAGTGGTCGAAGGATTAGCTCTGCTGGACTTAGGGGTCTCTCCATATTCTGGAGCTATTTTCCATGAGGTTGGTATGCATGTTTCATTTTAAACATGATATTACTGTGGAACGTTTCTTAGTCTTACTGTTCATGGGCTGGTGAAGGTTGGAGAATCTTATCTCAAAGACTTCAAAGAACTTAAGAGTCATATAGTTGTCTATGTGATAGCTCCGTGCCATGACTAGTACAACTGGGAACTGTAGCTTATTACGTAATAACTAGTTGCTGTGCAAATGATAGACATTATGATGTGTGACTGTTGCTATATATGAGCAGTCTGAAAGTGGGGAAATCTGTGAGAAGAAGAATGCTTTGTTCACATCCAGATGTTTCTGAGGCAGGAAAAGGGAGATACAGTGTCACTGGCAGTTTGAACAGAGTTTTAGTGGAGAGCAGCAACTTGAGTTTCCCAAACATACTGCACTGTTACATGACTATGGGTGGATTAACAGTAATTATATGTGTTTTGCCAGGCTATCAGAAAGCCATGCCGATGTGAGAAATGGTGGATAGGGCTCTCCAGTCTGCTACTGCATTTGCAGAAATATTAATATCAGCACAAGCGTGCAGTATGATAATTTCTTATCTTGGAAAGCACCTCATTCCTTCAACCACATAAGCACCTGTGGGGTTTTGTGCACTTGAACAGTCTTACTGATATCAAAGTACACTTATACTTAGTATCACATATGTGTGCCAGATACTCTGTATATCTCTGAAAACTTTTTCTTGTCAACAAATTCCTCTTGTTTAAACATACCTTTCTCCCAGTCTGTGAAGTATTTTTCAATGCTTATTTATAGCATCATATTATTTTTAAATTAATTTAAAAGAAATACATTTTCTCACAGGAAAGACTCAGTTTACACCATATAAGTATAATACCTCCAAATTAGTCTCTTCTGTCAAAGGAGTAATTCCTAAACCTGCTCTTCCTCTTGCCCTAAAAAGGAAGAGCTGCGGGAGTATGAGGTTAACAGTACTGTAGTCCCACTGCTTTGTGTTGTTAACATGCTGTCTTCCTTCTGGTTTATAAAAGATCCATCTAAACAACGGGCTAAACAGTGAAACCAGCTGTATAGGAAATACTTTCAAAACTACAATGCAAAAACCTTTTTCTTTAGGAAAAAAAAGTTTTTCTAAACCTGTTGTTTTTATGCTTTCTGTTGTAACTCTACCTTTGTGCTAGTGGATTGAAAATTTTGAATAGAATATAATTTTCAAAGTTGATAGCATCTTCCAAAGAAGGTATTGAGAACTTTAAGGAAAGAGGTCAGTCAGTGTGGTCTGATGAATCGCTTTACTGTAAAGCATTGTGGAAGAGTCTAAGGAAAACTACCTTTTCCGGTCTCTCAGAATCTTATTACATTTTTCCTTTCAAATTATCAGTTGTTTCATCTGAGGCAGATGGGCGATATTTGACATGTTTCCCTTCTGCTTTTTCTTAGACCCCGCTGATAATATACCTCTTTCACTTCTTGATTGAATATGCTGAGCTGGTGTTCATGGTAAGTGCCCCTGAAAAGTTCCTCTTCAAAGGCCCTATTCTGTGAAACGCTGCATGACTTTCCTTTCACTCCTGCAAGAACCGGGGGACCCTCAGTCTCTGTGTTGTTCAGTTTCCTCCTGAACTCGTGGTTTGTTTAGAGAGGCAGCTGTGCCTATACAAGCCCAAGTTGAGGTTTGTCCCTTGCTCTACAAATTGTTTCTTTTTTTCTTCAGTTCTTGGTTGGATAAGTATGCTCTAGAGAGGGACAGGAAGTTGATACTTGGTTTCAAATTTCAAAGCTTACCTCTTTCAAGTGCTGAGGATTTTATGTCCCACAAAAAACAAGCAGTCTGTAAACAGTCAAAATAATAACATATGTTTCCCCCCCAGATTACTGTTCTGTGTCCCTGCACTGCATTATTTCTCTCTACAATCCGCTGCTAAACTCCAGGGGTGCAGTTAGAGCATGAGTGGGCCAGAGCTCCAAAGGTGTTTTGTTGTAAACTATTCTGTGAGTCCTGCATAATTCAGAAGGACAAAAATCATGTAGCCGATTGTGTCAGCCACGTAGCAGAGCTTACCTCCTCAGATACCATCTCAGCAGGTCCCATGTGGCTCTACCAGCCATCTGCTTATGCTAATTGTTCAGAGGACTGTACTGCTGCTGTAAGTTTGAGACCACTCAAGGCACTGTCATGCTGGATTAGCAGACAGATTTAGCCACCTGGGTGCTGCCTCAGTGTTGTCTCTGCTCTGATTAGACCAGTGATTCTTTCTATTATCCTTGCGTACTTCTTTCCATTAACAATTGCTTTCCCTTAATTCCCTGTTCTCTTGTTGTGTAAATATTGGTATCTTTTGTATAGCACATGGCTTCAGGGATCAGGGGTGATATGTGAATCCCATTGTACAAATCAGCAGTCTAGTTGGTGGTTTAAAAGCTTTTTTTTTTTTTCTTCTCAGGAGCTGAAGTAAGCTCAGAGTCCTTACCTAAGATTGCAATAGTGCCCAATATCTTTTTTTCCCTTTGTTTGTTTTACTTAGTCAGTCTTTCTCTGCTTTCCTGTCTTAGATAACTGATGTGCTAACTGCTGTTGCCCTTTACTTGGCCATCCAGGACTTCAACAAAGTTGTGGTAAGCTGAATTGCCAGTGTTGCAGGTCCTCTTTTCTCACAGAATCACAGAATGGCCAAGGTTGGAAGGGACCTCTGGAGATCATCTAGTCCAACCTCCCTGCTCAAGCAGGGTCACCCAAAGCATATTTTCCAGGATCGCATCCAGGCAGGTTTTGAATATCTCCAGGGAAGGAGACTCCACTACCTCTCTGGGCAACCTGTACCAGTGATCAGGCACCCTCACAGGAAAGAAGTTGTTCCTCATGCTCAGACTGAACTTCCTGTGGTTCAGTTTCTGCCCATTGCCTCTTGTCCTGTTGCTGGGCACCACGGAGAAGAGGCTG